CTTTTTGCCTAGTACTGTATCTTCCAAGACTGAGTGAATTGCAGAAAACCACCACATTTGAGGTTAGCTTTGTGGAAAACTACCTAGTCCCTAATTATTTGCAAAACGCACCCGCAGATTCAGTAAACTTGTTGCAAATAGCACTGATGAGGTGATCTGGCCCGTTTGATCATTTTCTGACAAGTGAGGTCAGCTTGTAAGAAGCTAACTTGGCAAAGTTTTGACATACAGGCCCTGGATCTAAAAAGAAAAAGCAATCAGAGCCCCCCTGCTTCGACCGGATCGGGAGAGTCAGAGCCCCCGAGCTACCCACCCCCCGCGCCACTCCGACGACCTCTTCGCCGGCGACCGCCGCTGTCTACCATCTCCTTCCTCCTCCGTTTTCTTTTCTTCTCCATTGCTGCCTCGTCTACCATCGGCGATGGCGGAAAGGCGAGAGGGTAAGGCCGCGTTGGCCGGGATTGACGACGCGGGTTGCCATGGCTGTGGATCTCGCAGTCGCGCGCACGGACCCGTGACGCGCGCAAAGAGAGGAGAGGAGGAGGCGTTCCCCGGCGAGGCCGACCTCGTCGGCGCAGACGGCCGCGCAGTGGAGGAGGTCCCTGCGAAGAGCTCCTCGACAGTGACGGCCGGTTCGGGCCCGTGCGCCGCCGCGCGGTTGGAGCCGGGCGGTTGCTCGGCCATGGCCTCGGCCGTGCTTGGAGAGCAGCAGGGCATACAGGCCGTCGCGGATTCCGACGCCGTGGACATGGCCGTGGCTGCCAGCGGCTGGGCTAGGTAGGGGCGACGTGCGGGTCGTCCCAGAGGAGGAGGAAAGAAATATGGGAGGAGGATGGCGGGGCAGCGGTGGTCGCCCGCGTGCTTGTCGGCTGCGGCGAGGTCGCCGGCCCTCCGCCCAGCGTCGCCGGCCAAGCAGCGCGGCGGAGGCCATGAACCCGATGCCCAGCGCGCGTCTGCCCGAGGGGTGGGGGCTGATTGCTTTTCTGTTTTAGATCAAGGGGTGTGGGTGTAAATCTTTTGCTCTTACAATCTGACCCCACTTGTCAGAAAGTGGTCAAACGGGCCAGATCACCTTATCAGTGCTATTTGCAACAAGTTTACTGCATCTGCGGTGCGTTTTACAAATAATTAGGGACTAGATAGTTTTTCGCAAAGCTAACCCCAAATGTGGTGGTTTTCTGCAATTCACTCTCCAAGACTATATCTCACATTCTTTCTAACTTGTGAAATTGTCAAAGCTACTGGAGGTGTTGCAAAGACTGCCTGTGAAGGGGCTGTATACAACCTGCTACATTACTTGTTAGCTAGATATATATGGCATCTGGATGCTTTTATATGCAACCTTTCAACATTTCATATGTTGAAATTCACCAAATTTCAAGTCAAATGTGTTGCTCAAGTTTTCATCCTTCTTTCTAATAAGGTATCTAATAATGTAGCGATTTTTTTAGAAGCCTGCTGGAAAATGAGTTGCAAGAATGAAACTGGGTGTAATATTAGGTACCTCGACTGTGATATTACGCCAAATCAGACATCGACTAGTACAACTTATGTCTTCAGCAGCTGCAATGCGTGCTACTTAAATAATAAAGGTCCAATGTTTAATTTAGAGAATTGATAGGGGCCAAACAAACACATAAATCCTCACAGTTATAAAAGCCAAATTTAAATTAAAGAATTGGCAGGGGCCGCGCGGACGCGTACCCCCTCTATCACAAATTATGACGTCCACTCTCCCATTTGAGGAGATGGTAAGCCAGCGCATCCACCAAGTGCAATGTGGACCACTAGCCTAGGCCACGACTCTTCTTGATCAGTCGTCGACCCCGTCCAGGTAAGTATGTTGCAAGGGTGCACCGAGGGATCATTATATGGCATCCTCCCCCACCCCTGCCTCCTCCCGTTGGCGAGGTGGTACTAAACAAACAAGAGTACAGAGGTTTATTTTTATTTTTTAGGTGCAGCCGGTGCAAGTTCTTCATGGGCCTGATTCTAGTGAACCTTCGGTGCTCAGGCCCAGTTCATTAGAAAACGATCTTTGGGAGAAGAGTTTATTTTAGAAGGTTGATTTCAAATGGATTGTCTAGGCTGGGTAGATGCATCCACAGTGGTCAGGCCTCGTGGGCTCAGGTGGAGGATGTTGCAAATAATGAATATAAAGAGTTCCCGCAAAAAAAAAAGAGGAGAGTACGAGATGATGATCCCATAATTAACGAGTTGGAGCCAATGATGATCACATGCAGCTGAAAGATTTTTTTTCACGGGTACACATGCGGTTAAAAAATTACCGTGGATCAAGGACTTCATAATAACCATTGTATCACGCACGTACCTAGAGCCAGCGCTCTGCCTCCTCCTCAAAATAATAATAATTTGGATTCGTGCCTCTCGCCGGCGCCGGCGCAGGTCCACCTCGTCTCCGGTGGCCCTAGGGCCATGGAGGCGCGGTGATCCTGACAAGGGTCGGCGGAAGGGCTCCGTTTTAAGTCGTTCTTTTCAATCTTGTTAGGGTTTGTGTCCTATTCAGGAAGGCGAGACGATGGCGGCTCCCTGAAGATGGAATAAAGGTCTCCCCGCCTAGCCCCCGTTTCGGTGGTGCCTCTAGCATCGTTGATGGGCGTGTGGAGGTGTGTCTCCGGCAGATCTGTCTTTGGTGGATTTGCTCGGATCTCGTCGTTGTTCGTCTACGTTCGTGTGTCTTCGGTTTGGATCCTTCCGATCTACGTTATTTTTCATCGGCGGCGGTTGCTGTTTTGGGGTGCTGGTCCTATGGAGCCTTAGCATGATGACTTCCCGATCGTCTACTACAACAAGTTGTACCCGGCTCCGGTGATGGAGGGGCGATGACGGCGGCGCGCCTTCGGCTCACTTCGGTGCTTGTAGTCGTCGCTAGGTGGTCTACGAATCTGGATGTAATTTTTATTTCTGGTATTCGTTGTACTGCCATGATTGAAAATGAATAGATTGAAAGTTTTTCTGCAAATTTTTTTTTACTCTGGATGCATACTAGCGAATACTCCTTCCTTCCTAAAATATAACACGCTCGACTTTGATCATTAATATATACAAAATTATATGAATCTAGCATGTATAAATATTATCACATTTTTGTCGTGCAAAATAGTTTTATTTCATATATCTTTATACTAATTCTGTAGACATGCTACAAGTGAAAATCATAGTTAAAATTATGTGTCAAAGACAAAAAAAGGAGTCAACCACGCCTTATATTTTGAAAATGAGTGATTTGTTTTTCAGAACAACCGAGTAGCTTTAATGAAGGAATATAGGAGAAGGACAGGAGTTCTAATTAAAATGCATGGAGACTTCTAAAAACACAAGATCGTAGGTCTCTTTTGATGCCAAAAAAAAAAGTTCGTGGGTCTGTTCCTGGTGGACTTTCGGGTCCGAGTGGGCTACATCTTCCTCTCTCTCGAGAAAAGCAAAATAAAAGCAGTGGAGCTCCGCTCTTGTCTCACCTTGTCCGCGAGCACAGCAGACCCCAACACGCTACTCCAGACCACATTTGCAATCAATCCTATACTCCACTAATTAGCAACCACACAACATAAACTGAAACTACATCTTCCAATTGAAACATGCTGAAAGTTAGCAGGAAGGCCAAGTTGATGCAACTAAAACTGAACATAAACTTAGAAGAAAGCCTCAAGGACCAAAATTTATTTTAGAGAATTGGCAAGGGCCGCGCGAACGCGTACCCCCTCTACCACAAATTACGACATCCACTCTCCCACTTAGGAAGATGGTAGGCCAGCGCATCCACCAAGTGCAATGTGGACCACTGGCCTAGGCCACGACTCTTCTTGATCAGCCGTCGACCCCGTCCAGGTAAGTATGTTGTAAGGTCGCACCTAGGGCTCATTATATAGCCTCTCTTCCTCCCAAGCCTCCTCCCGTGGGCGAGGTGGTACTAAACGAAACTAGAGTGTCGTGGTGTTGTTGCAACGGTGGGGTGCGAGGTCGTGGGCCTGATTCTGATGGACTTTTGGTGCTCAGGCCCAGTTCTTTGAGAAAACGTTATCGGCAGGAGAAGGGAGAGATTGCATAGAAGGTCGGCAACGTTCCACTCAAAAACAAAAAAGGTGTGGCAACGTGTACCAGCGGAGGGGTTGAACATACTGTGATACTTGACAGACAGAGCTTCAAATAAATCCTGACAAGAATAGAAGCTTCAAAGAATATTGCAATTTGCATCCGAAAAACTTATTTTGAGACGGAGGGAGTACTAAAGTTAGTACAAAGTTAAGACACTTATTTTGAGACGGAAGGAGTATAACTGAGTAAACTGGAAAATGCTCGATTATATGCAAAAACTTCTTCAACTTCATGTCTGACTGCTAAAAGAAAGCGTAAGCTATGAGTGACCAAATATATGTACAGAGAGAGGACTTAAGGAAAATTATGGTATAGAACTACAGAACTTAGAATCATATGGTTCCCACGGTCATAAGTAGCAATATTAAGTGAAGCAACGGCATTGTAACCTGTGGCATAGCTACTTACTCTGTATAAATCCATCAATGCATCCGCTCTGAACTTTTGCTCCTGAACCAATGCTGGGCAGAGGACGAACAGGGGCAAGGGAATGGAAGAGGAAGAAGGGGAGCCAGGGAAGGGTTAGAAGAAGAGAGCAGGGTAGCAGATGGGGATCCAGGGAGTGCCAATAAATGAAAAATAATACTCCCCCCTTCCTGAGATTCCACTATGTATATAGATGCATTTTAATCCGTATGTGGTCCATAGTGAAATCTACTTATATTTAGGAACAGAGAGAGTAATAAGGAAAGTTCATAAGATCCAGGGCTGAGGAATTAATATGAACAATAGACATTCTTTTCATGAAATGGAAATTTACATACATCTGCACAGCATGTAAAACTAACAAATTACATACCCTTTGGTGGGCAAAATGAAGCATCAGCAAGAAACATCGTGCTATGGTACACAGATATGAAATACATCGGCAGATGGCCATGCATTCAGATGACCCAAAACCAAGCGACAAACGAACCGACGACCAGCCCAACCACAAGGAACAGCACTATGACGATCCCCGCGGTCTCGGAGTGGTGTATGGGCACGGCCTTGGGCGCGAGGATCATGAGCACGGAGGTCAGGTACCCATTGGTGAGCCCGAGAAGGCACGTCAGCACGGTGACCGGGATCTCGGTGCGGAAGTAGCTGGGTCCGTGCAGGCAGCCATAGAAGAGAGGATAGAACAGGAGCCTCGCGAACGAACCGGCAACCGCAACATTGGAGTTCTGCAGGAGGTAGATGGCCGGCAGGCACTTGCCGATGAGATCAAACACGTTGTATGCGCTGATGAGCATGATTGGGTACCAGTCCTTGAGCGCCTCCGAGTGCACGTCCTCCGTGATGAACCCCGGAAATATGGACAGGGTGACCGCATAGATGAGAACTACTCCTATCCCGTACCACTTCACTGTCCCGACGATGCTCCACAGGGTCGACCTCCAGGCAGGCCCCGTCATGCCACCACCCACCTCTGCCTTCTGAGCCCTCTGCTTGATGTTCTTGTAGTACACCACGACCGGGAGTCTGCGCGCCACGTTGTAGCACACTATGCAGATGATCATGACCACCATGCCAACCATGAAATACAGGATTGCGCTTTGCCTTAGCCCATTGGGGTCCTGAGGGAAGCTCGCTTTTGTGATCACTCGAAGCGCTGAGACAAGTACACCTGTGGAACACAAATCATGAAGACAATGCATCTAGCATCAGCCCATCACATAGATCCTAATATATGCCTCAGATATTTTCACAAACAAAGTAGGTGCTAGCAAGTTCCAAAGTCGGCAAAGCACAATCTATATATGCTCCACTGAAATTTGAAACCACTTATTGGTTGGTTCTAACAGATTTTATAGTACCTGCTGCATTCTCAGTTTATACTCTCAAACTCTTCAGCTCGATATGTCTGTATGCTGCCTGATTTCTGAACAAACAACCAAACCAGTTTCTAGTCTAGGGGCAATTCAGAGAGCTAACTACAGGGCAAAAGCAAACGAACCGGAAGAAAACAGAGGTAAATAAAGGGGGACCTGAAGCGGCAGTTCCGGCGACGACAGCCTGCATGTAGCGCTCGGGGAGCTCCCCGGCGAAGCCGATGACCCCGCCCTGCACGAGCGCGTCGGCGACGCCGCACATGACGGTGGCGGCGACGGTGACGTCGAAGGCGCCGTAGAGGCGCGGCGTGCCCTTGACGTAGACGGCGTCCATGACGGGCACGACGAGGAGCGCGAGCGTGAAGAGGGTGAGCCCGGTGTTGATGCGGGCCGGGGCGCTGGACTTGGGGAAGACGAGCACGATGAGGAGCAGCGGGAGGAGGCAGGAGAGCATGTAGGAGACGGAGAAGACGCGGTCGACGGGCGCGCCCGGGTAGAGGTAGGAGAAGTAGTCGACGGCGGTGATGTAGGCGTTCCAGGGGAGCAGGAACCCCGCGCCGAGCGTGAAGAAGATGAGGTAGCCGACCCCGAGCCGGTCGGCCGGCGGTGGGGGAGGGTGCTCCGCCTCCGCCGACCCCGCCGGCGGCGGCAGCAGCGCCGTCGTGGCCTCCTCGTCGCCGCCGGCCATGGCTTGGTCGGGTGGGTGGATTTGGGAGATCTCGGATGGGTGGACTTGGGGGATCTGGACGGGTGACTTGTTTTTTTGGGCTGCTCGAGAGAGAGAGTTTCGGCTTTGTGGGCTTTCGTGTGGAGCGAGTTGAGGAGGTTCGTGCTCCTACGCTACGCTATGCGACTTTTAATGAATGATGCACATGTTGCATTCTTTATTGTGTCGCTGACAGCCGTGGGCCGACTGGTGATTCTTTGCTTGTTTTTTTTGTCTTTGCTTTATTCGCCCATGTGGTCTCACGCTATCCGCTATGAAAACTAAAATATGCGCCTCCCTTTTAAATAATAGCTTGAGAGTCTCCCTGCGGAACAGTCTCTCTCTCTGTAAACAAAATTGCTTCAGGGACGACACTTTAGACTAACCACAGTGGGAGTAACTTCGGTAGTAACATCGAGTCCAACTCAGCAAATTTGCTTATGTGACAATGAGTTAATGAGGAGAGATGTAGTACTAGTAACTTAGCTAGTTACTGTAACATCACATGTCCCAATGCAATATAAGTCTATAATCTAATAAATGAAGCTTTGCATGTTACCACACCTATGTTACTACCCACTATTGAGGTAGTAATATAGTCTAGGGATATGTGTATGTTACTAGTGTATGTTACTCTCCATTGTGGCTAGTCTTACGCACGATCTGCAAACGATGTTCCTCTCCAACAGCACTAGCATCAACTAAAAAAAGAAAAACAAATAACCTCCTGTGTGCACGCTCACTGCTGGCCCTCCACGTTGGATCGTGCAGCCATTGGTTGTAATCTTGTCGTGTGTATAGCAATGCCGGTCAGTAAAATACTACTAATTGATTTCATAAAAATTGCATTCATATGGTTATTGCATAGGAGCACCTAGGTGCTCCACCCCCTTACATCTGAACCGTATAATGGCATCGTGATTACAAACTTCCGTTGTATACCTTTTGTATTCAGTTCTGTATCAGCTCTTTCCTTTAAATTGGCTGGAAACATATACTAGGTGGGTATTCCATCGCATTAATTGGGCCATTATTGTACCCTGGCCCAATAACAAGACCCGTTCTGGACGGAGTTATTGGGCCGCTCCCCCACGGTCCCGCGCTGGATAAAAATATCTACATACCCCGTCTACTGTTTCTCTTCCCCACCCGAGCACTCGTCCCTGATCGTTCCTATCCCTTTCAGATATAGGCGACTCCAGGTCAAAAAAAAAAAAAGATATAGGCGACTCTGTTCTTTTCGATTCCTCGCCATGTGCTCCTCTGCATCCTGAGCCCTTTCCCGCGCCAGTGATGAACAAGCCCCGCTCTCACGGGCTGAGACTGGTGATGAACGTCGGCGACTAGGCAAGATCATTGGTGTTGAGTATTTCCTCGTTTTTCTCTCTTTGAAAGTTTTCGTTCCTCAAAATTTCTAAGATTTCCTGGAACTTTTTTCCTCAGCAACTCTGACACCCAATGGTGTTGAGATCGTCTTTTGTTTCCTCGTATTTCCTCTGAAATGTTTCTCTCCTCAAATTTTCTCTTTGAGCGTTCCTGAATTTTTTCCCTCGACAACTCTGACACCATGAAGTATGCAACGGAGGCGACCACCAGCAGAAGTAGGTAACGCTGGCCACTGGGGCAGCGACTGCTTGTGGCGGCGAGCAGCGGTAGCCCGTGGCTGCAAATCCATGCCGCCAATTCTCAAGGTCCTCCTCATCGCGGGATCCTAATTCTAGCACCGTTCTATACCTCTGCCTGAAGCTCAATTGAACCTGTTAATTTTAGTAATCTCTGTAGCTAACTAACTGTTTTTTACGGAAAAATCCCCTGGTTAATTGTTACATGCCCATCGATCCAGAAAGTGAAAAAAAAAATGTAAGCAGGATATTAAGTAAACTTCCTAGAGCGGATAAGATGTTCTTTTTTTGACATATAACCAAGAAGCTGGGTATTGTCAGGACCCCGACTCGATGTCACATCGATCTAGCCGGTAACACCTCATATCACTTTGCGGCCTCACGCACGGTATTCCCACGGGTGTCGCCTTACTTTTGCCCGGGACCGTTTGCGCCTTTTGGCTCACGTATATGATAGTGTCGCTAGCATCCATATGATAAGGAGCCCGGGCTGACATGACTAGTCGTAAACCCAAAGTGGCACAGACTTACAGGGACAGGCATCCATGACCCAGCTTCAAACGTGTCGGTCATCAGCAAGTGGGTCCGGGCTGTAGCACTGGGCTAGCAGGACTCCGGTAAACCGGGCTGTAGCGGGCTAACAGGACTCCGGTACTCAAAGCGTGACATTTCCCCGAAGGGACAGACACAGGAACGAAGAAGGACACATGCCGGCCAGCCTAAGTGTTCCAGAGCAGTAGCAAGCTACCATGGCTCAGCGGTAACACTAGGAGACATTTCCCGATAAGAGAGGCTACTAAAGATAAACAACTAGGTAGTCAGATCCCACACATACCAAGCATTTCAGTCATACACACAATATGCTCGATATGTGCAAATACAACGAAGCATCACAACATGACTCTACGACACAAGTACTTTATTTAAGGCTCAGAGAGCCATACATAACATACACAAGGTACGGGTCACACGACCCAACATACAAGTCATACAGTCATACAAACCAACAGCGGAAGTAACTTGTCTGAGTACAGACAACTAGTAAAATAAAAGAGGCTTGGAAAGCCTAGCTATACTACGTGGTCCTTCACAAGCTCAGGGTCACCACCTGGGCCTTTAGCCTACTCGTTGATGTCAACGTCTACATAGAACCCATCAGAAAGGGTTGCAGCGTCTTCTGTAAAAATGTAGATTATAGCAACATGAGTACAAAGGTACTCAGCAAGACTTACATCAGATCCTACATACATGCATAGTATCAAGAAGGGTTGGTGGAGTTATTGCAGCAAGCCAGCTTTGACTCTTGGCTAGGCTATCCTACGATACTTCAACTTGAAATGGTTTTGCGCACACGAGTCCACTACTCACCACTTCAATACACTACCGAGGATCCACCTCCGTCTTCCTACGGAAGAGCCATCCTCGGCACTCACACTTATCTTGAAGACTTTTAGTAGTTTCCATTTACTTGTCTATGAACTGTATAGGCAACCAAGTAGTCCTTTACCGCGGACGCGGCTATTCGAATAGATCATGTTAACCCTGCAGGGGTGTACTCCTTCATACACGCTCTCACCACTTACCGTCGTTTACACGACATGTACTCGGCAACCTTCAAGCGGAAGCCCAACGTGGGTGTCGGCCACGACCTACCTAATCACCTAAGCCTCCAGTCCAGGTTTATCGCCTATTCAGGTTCCATCCGCAGGGAGTCCGGCCGAGGTTTCCCATACGGCCCCGAACGATGTGAACAGGGTTCCCGAGATACCTAACGGGTATTCGGTACACCCGGCCACGTACCTACCGCATCACAGCCCACCCCTACGGTCAGCGCTGTCCACGGCCTCCAGTAGGCTACAAACACCAGAAACTACTTGCAACTCCTGGACGGAGAACTAGGGTGAATAAGAAGCCGAGAGGGTCCATTGGTTTCGGGCCCAATGCATGGTAGTAGCTGATTCTTAAATCACACATACAGATCTCAGTGCTTAAGGCCGGCTTCAATGAAACAACCCACCATGTACTCCTACATGGCCTCTCATTGATACCTTTACCAAATCGTGTTCACCACACCACTCTCATTACCGACATAATCATTTCACTCTAGCCCATCACCCAGATGAACCAGACCTGACACGACTCTAAGCATAGCAGGCATAGCAAGGTAGGAACAACACATACATATGGCTCAATCAACTCCTACACATGCTAGTGGGTTTCATCTAGTTACTGTGGCAATGACAGGTCATGCAGAGGAAATGGGTTCAACTACCGTAGCACACAGCAGTTTGAAACGCGTTGTCTTAATGTAGTAAAAGAGAGCAGGAGCGAGAACGTGGGATTGTATCGATATGATCAAATGGTTGGTTGCTTGCCTGATGGTTCGATGCACTGATACGGTTCTTCGTTAGGGTAATCACGGTACTCCTCGGAGGCAGAACCTGTCGCAAAGGACACCGATACACAACCATCACCAAACAATGTGCAACAATATGATGCATGCATGAAACATAGCAATATGAGTGTGTTGGGCTAATGCAACTAAAACCAGAAGGGTTTGAGCAAATTTGAATCAAAGATTCAAATTTCAAACTCAAACATGGCCCTTTAAAGTGCTTTTCCTTGTTCTGCTTAAAACATCAATTTAACTTGTTTGATCATGCATGAAAATAGTACAGATGGATAGATTGGATTTTTCTGATCATTTTTCATATATAATTTGTCTAATTTGGAGTTACAGAATAAAAGTTATGAATTTTTGAAGTTTAAATAATATTCTGGAATTTCCTGATTTAATTTAAATCCAGAAATATAATTATTGCGCCAGCATGATGTCAGCATGACGTCAGTGGTCAACTGCGGCTGGCTGGGGTCAAACCTGACGTGTGGGGGCCACACGTCAGTGACAGGGGGGTTTAACAGGATTAAATTAATCCTAATTAGGGATTAGTGGCGCTGGGGCCCACTGGTCAGTGTCAGGGGGGTAGTTAATTTAACTGATTCGGTTAGTGCTAATCCTAATTAACTACAGGGCTGGGCCCACCTGTCAGGGACACAGGGGGGGTTCCTGCCGTGGTCAAGGTGGGTCAAACCCACCGGCGACATGACGCCGGCGAGGCCCGAGACGGCGGCGCGATGCGGGATCGCGCTACAGGGCACGGGCGAGGCCGTGCTTGGGCTCGTTGGAGAGCTCTTGCTCCCGTGCGTCGAACGGTGGTGGTGGCCGTGCCTGGGGTGGCCTGTACCGTCGACGGCGAGCTCGTGAGCGGCGGCCGGAGTTCGGGTGCGGTCGGAATCGGCGTTGCAGGGCGTTTGGGGAGGCGTTGGTGCGTGCTGCGTGCTCCTAGTGAGGTGTGGAGC